TACACTACTTTGTATGGCAAACATGATGGGATAGTCATTTCCGTGATTAAGCTGTGTTGTATGATTCCCTCTTAGTAAACTGAATAGAAAGATCTGCCTGCTGGCCTAGAAGTATGCAGCCATATTAAGACAGGGACACATGGCAAGGAACTGCATGTGGTCCCTAGGAACTGACAGCAGCTCCTGGCTGACAGCCATCTAGCCAATGAGGACCTTGGTCTTACAACTGCAAGGAAATGAATTCTGCCAATAACCACATGAACTTGGAATATGATCTTGAGCTACACAAAGATTGCAACACCTTAATTTTAGCCTTGGGAGATCTTCAGCAGGGGAGTCAACTAAACAGTGCCTGGACTGGCACTGGCTCGTCCCACAGAAACTGAGATAATAAGTATGTGAAGCTGAGTTTTAATCAGCTACATTTTTGGTAATTTGTTTGCAAAAAAGAAAACTAATACAAATAGTAACATGCTAATATTCTTGTGCTAAAGTCATCTCATACTTAAAAGAAATGTTGGTTGTTAAGTAATGAAAGCCATTTTAATTTTGCAGGAGTTCAAGGTCTTTGCCAACTCTCTAGAAATATGTTTTATAACTAAAACTCTGTTTCATATCGTCTGAGCATCTATATTCAACCCATAATTTCCACTTTCTTTGAGATGTAAGATCAGAGGTAGCCATAGACCTGTAGCAGTTTATACTTATATCTCATGTTACTATTTAAAAACTACTCTGAGACTTTTGAGAGAATAGGAGCAAAGGCATTCATTTTATTCTTCATGAAATCCTCCAATAAAAACAAAGCGATCAAGTAGGATGCACAATCAAAAGCTCATTGACAATGCCTACAGCAAAAAATAAATAATTTAGGTTTTCTTTATCTACTATTCTAAGAAAACTCTTCTTTCAGCACATATTCCGTAAATACATCCTTCCCCATATTTACTTTCTTTAACAACTCTATTTCTTTTTTTTTCTGACACAGAGTCTTGCTCTTGTTGCCCAGGCTGGAGTGCAATGCCGAGATCTTGGCTCACTGCGACCTTCACCCCTTAGGGTATTCTCCTGCCTCAGCCTCCCAAATAGCCGGGATTACAGGTGCCTGCCACCACAACTGGCTAATTTTTGTATTTTTAGTAGAGACAGGGTTTCACCATGTTGGCTAGGCTGGTCTCTAACTCGTGACCTCAGGTGATCTGCCTGTCTCAGCCTCCCAAAGTGCTGGAATTACAGGGGTGTGCCACCATGCCCAGCCACGACTCTATTTCTTGATTAAATTGATGATATTAATACATTTATTGTATCACTATTCAATAATCTCCTTTTTAATTATCCCCTTACTAAAACTGTACCATTGATAATATTATCATTTAAAAACTTTTCTTAATGTAATTCTGATTTTGCACTAACCTGATTTGCCTTATATCTAATCTTTCTCTAACTGCTCATTCTCTGTTTATATTGATACTCCCTAGACATTCTACCAGCACCTAAATAATGGCAATTTTCAAGTTATTTTGGGAAAATGAGAGTGAGAGAAGAAAAGAGCAGAATGAGAAAGGGAGAGAGAGAAGAGAAGACTACTAACTGCTCCACAGGATTTCATAATTCAATCTATTCTGATAACACCCTCTCCTACCTCCAGACTCAATCATTGAAATAACCTTAAGTGAAAATGAAAAAATTAAAACAGAAATACTGGATATCTATTAGGTTCTAACAAAAACCTACCCACTTCCATAGCTCTTTCTTGCTGTTAAGAACTTTGCATTTCTTCCCAATCCGCAAGAAATAAAATTAGAATTGCTTTTTAATTCCCTTTAATCTTCGACATCAGATAAAATGCTGAGTTATAGAAACTCTCCTGCTGAGCAGCTTCTTACTTGAGTTCAACACTTCCTTTTCTTTGCTATTGCAACAAGTGTTAAATACCTTTATGATCTCTCATAACGATCATGTAATAGCCTCCTTAAATTTCTCTCTTACTTTTCATCCCTCCCTGCTTGAATCAATCTTAAATATTATGAATGTCCTGTCAATCAAATACTCTGTTCAAAAGTCCTTCACAGTCTCTATGCTGCCTTTAGAATAACACAGAAGGACAACATCTAATATTAAAATCTTCCACCAACTTGTCCCAGCTTGATTTCCTGCTGTTCTCTAAAGAACATAAATGTCGGCAAAGTGATTCCATACATCCCTGCTCTTAGCTGCTTAATCAAAGTATTCTCCTTGCCTAAATGATTTGTAACTTTTCATTCCCTCATGTAAAATCGCATTAAGCCTTTAATTGGTCTTTTGGGGATAAATCTTATACTGGTTTATTATGGGATGGTCACCAGTTCCTCTTGTGACATAAATATATATATTTTTAAAATGTATCATATCTGATATTTGGATAATTATTTCAATCATATAAACATTCAAGTATTACAATTTGATTGAAATAATATTCAGTCATAATTAAAGATTCTAACGTGACTCAAATATTTCAATTATTATTAGATAATTATGTGAGATAAAATTACTGAATATCATGTGTATGAAGTTGAAGTACACCAAGTTCCAGTTCTGCTAATGATAATGTATCTTATATTGGACAAACCTTTCAAAGAAAATAACGATAAACTATATATATGTGTGTATATATATATATTTATGTATTTAAAAAAACCTGCTTGAAGGCACTGGAGATCAATTAAGAATACTCAAAGACTAGACAGATTTTTCACTTGAGGAAACCCCTTAATTCATGTGGAAAGGAAAGGCTAGAACCAAGCAGAAAAGTGACGGGTGATATCTAGAAGCTATGGTATGTACCATGATAAGTTAGCTTTAAAATCCCTGTCCGACACCTGAACTGTATGCGCAAGCAAATAAAAGGCAGTGACTGGAAAGGCGAAAAAGGTGGCTACTGCCCATTGTAAGTTTACATGGGCTAATATGCCTTTCAAGTAAATGGTGCTTTGTATGGGACAGCCAGTGGGGTGAGCTGAACAGCACATTGGAGATGTCAGGAGAAAGAGTAAATTAATTTGAATATAAATCAATTGAATTTTTCCAATCTGAAAAGTAGAGAAAAAAAAGTTGAATAAAAATGCACTGTATGTCTTAGGTCAATGCCTAGAAGTATAACAAATACATATATTATTATATGTATATACAATTATATGTATGCATATATATTTTTATATATATACCATATGTAATATATATATTTTGAAATCTCTGAAGGAGAGGCATGGGTAAATGGAGAAATATTATTTCAAGAAATAACGGGTAAAATTTACCAAATTAGATGGAAAAAATAACATTATGTATCCAAGAATTTCGGTATCCTAAGAAATACAGATACTGAACCCTCCCACTCCAACACACTTGAAGTCACACTACAGAAACTGTTGAAAAGCAATGGTAAAGACAAAATCCTAAAAGATAAAGCTATTTTAAAAAGAAAATATCAGTAGGAATAAAGCTTTACTTTGTATTAGAGATTAGAAGACAAAGCAGTTTTGAGATGCTGAAAGAAGAAAACAAAACCAAAGTAACTATTAACACAGAATTCTATAACCAAGGAAAATTTCTTTAAAAATAAAGGTGAGGCATAAGCATCTTCAAATAAATGAAACTGACTTTGCTGCTAAAAGATTTGAACCACAAGAGGTATATATTCTGACTGTGTACACATACACACATGTAAATACATATGTATACTTTGAATGTTTGCATACATGTATATATTCTGACCTTGCAGGGGCCTGATTTACCTTCTACATCTGTCTAAAGCTCTTCTATTATATAATCTACATTGTTTCTTTAAAATAATTCAATAAATACTATATGATGTCATTGTGCATGTTACTTAACTTAATCTATAACTAGGGTTGGTTAGTTAACATTTAAAATATGCTAATCATAAACTCTCCCTACATAGATAGTTAACAGCTGAAGTAGTTAAATGCAATCTCCAGGGGCAGCTATTAAGAACTTCAAATACTTTGAATTATATTTGCACCTGAGTGTTAACTAGTATAAGGAATATCAGAAATAATATTTTAGTAGTGAAATGGTGTTCTTTGCACGTGGCAACTTGAAATATTAATATTTTATGGCCACTGCTGTATCATGAGTCTAGCTGATTAACAACAACAGAATATCTAGACCTCTATTTTATCTGTGCCTTGTCGTAATGTAGGACTCTGCCTTCCAATGTAGATGAAAAATAATAGATTCTATATGAGCATATTGTTTCATATGCTTCAAGATAAAATGGCGATATAGAGTGCTTCAAAACGTACCTAAAATTAATTAGAGTTGGGATTCGCCCAGCTTACAGGAATAGATTATATGACTTATCTTTGAGCCTGCTTGCTGGTAAATATTATATGTGTGACGGGATTCACTTGGGATTTGCTTTTATTATGCAGTATCACCTAGTGGCAAAATTTTAGCGGAAGAGATGTATAACTGGCACCAAGTAATATTTATCTTTACTCTGTTTGAAATCTTCCCTTCTCCTGTATTCCCTACCTCACCTGACTATGAGAAAGTAATTACAGAATCGAAAAGTCTTTGCATGTTCCTTGTAAAATATATTTATATCAATTATATATATACACACACACATACACACACACACACACACATACACACACACACACACACACATATACACATTCCAGTTTGGTGGTTAAACTAATGAAAATATTAATATAATAAAGAACACAGTTTGATATTAAGAGATGTTCTTAAGTGGGCAAATTAAGCAAATAGAATTGTTCAGTGAATGGGTAGACAGAGAATTAATTGGTTCACAGATTTTGTACCTGACGATAATTTTAAAGACCCAGAAAGATGATTTCTCTGTCTCAAGCAAACTGATTCAGTACATCACAAATGCTTTTATCTTTCTTGGGAAGAAATGCTACAGTCTTTCTTTGAGAACAAGGTTGTCTTAAGCATTATTTTGGTTGATAGCAATGAATGAAACATCTTACCTCCAAATGATATCCAACTCTGATAAAGGCACAAAGTGGCTCAAAACCTCCAGTACTACAGGTCAGAAGGTGTGTCTTATTATAGTGATGCAAAACCCGAACATAATTTGCACATTCACCCTAAAGCAGGAAGAAAAAGAAAATAATCTATTAGTAAAATAAACATGTGTAAAAGAAACTGGGGTGACTGGAACACATTTAAGTTAGCAGTGATGTATAAATTACATTTTATAATTAGAGTGCATTATTTTTCATGTATTCTAGTTTGCAACTGAGGAATAAAAAATCACTATTCAGAAATGTTTTCACGTGTAAAAATTTGCATGGCAATATGTTCCACTAAGTTATTCCCAATGCTGTTTTTTAAGTGCAGTATAAACAATGAATCAGCATAAAGTCATTAAAATTAATAATTAGAAAAAGCATAGTTATTCATATACAAACATGCAGTCTTTTTTTTTCCCCCACCACAGGGTCTCACTTGTTTGCCCAGGCTGGAATGTAGTTGTGTGACCTTGGCTCACTGTGGCCTTGCCTTCCAGGGATCAAGTAATCCTCCTACCTCAGCCTCTGGAGTAGTTGGAACTACAGGCATGTGCCACCATGCCCATCTGATCTTTTTGTATCTTTTGTTGAGATGGGATTGTTCAGTGTTGCCCAGGCTAGTCTCAAACCCTTGGGCTCAAGCCATCTGCCTGTCTCAGCCTCCCAAAACATGCAGTCTTTAGAGCAAACAAAATGTTAATGTTTTGGAAAGTAAGTCTTATATTCTCATACTCACAAATTTACATAAAGCACTTTCAGAGAGAATTTTTAAACAATAAAAATAACATTTTGTTTTAAGACTATGATAAGATTACTATATTTGTTGTAAGACTATATGACTATGATAAAATTACCATATTACTATATATTATATATATTACATACTATTGTGACTGACACAATAGTATGCTCTTGGCAAGAAGTGCACTATTGAACTGATTATCCAAGGCATACAGGCATATTTATTTCTTCAAGTTTGCATTCACATGTTATGTTATTTTTTGGGTGATCCATATATTTGGTAGAATCTGATCATTCAGGCATGGTGAAAATATCTGTCGTTTATTTCTATAAGCACCTGCTTTTCCTCCCTTGACTCAGCGTCACATCTGAGAGTGAGCCTATAGGTCCATATTTTGGCTCAGCTGAACTTAGATTGACATAGCCTCATGGCCTAAGAGTATGTTGAATTAGTCAGCATCATGCTGTGGGCTAAAGCAACAGGAATGTGTTGACTCACTCCTTGGCTGTGACCCAGCTGCTAGAGAAGGAGGAGTTGGTATAATGTGCGTTAGTCATTTACAGAGTATTCCTTTTTCTTACTGAAAAAAAAAAAAAAAAAAAAAAAGATAATTTCACTTTCACAGGCAGATGTCCAGGCCTTCCTCCAGGGTGCATTTGTGTCACGAGATCAGCTAGCCACCGCCTGCAAGTGAAAGTCCTATCAGGGACGTCTTAGTGTGTTAGGGACTGTATCGGAGATGCTGATGCCCAGCATTTTGCCACTCACACACAGCAGGGAGACTATGGAAAGAGAGAATATTGCTTCTTAAAGTAGAAGAGACCCTGAAAACATTTAGGAATAGATAAATGAGTTTTTTTGCCTCTCTCAAACTTTTTGTTCTTTGTTTCTTCATTCATTTCTAATTTGCTAAACAACATAAAGTGAAATTTCACAAAGAATGTGCTTAACTGTTCCCAGAAAAATTTATCTGCAATTATTTTTCTGACAAATACATAGGAAATAAGCATTAGCGTAAGGAATTTATAAACCCAGGTTAAGATTTTAAAAAACAAAATAAAAACCAAAATCTCAATGGCATCTCTGCTTTAACTCTGCATTGAAATTAATTTTACATAATTATGTGTTTTATATGATATACATACTTTCTTCATGAACCAAATTGCATACATGCTTTTTTTAATAAGAGCAAATAAAAATTCAGTGATTCAGTTCTTTGTGGTTGACTAGTGATATAATTGATGATTTGTTTAATTTACAATGAATAATACTTACCACATCTTTTCCTTTCATCATGCATTCTTCTATTTTTAGAGCTGTATTAGGCCAGTGTATCTAAAACAAAAGATAATGTACTATTATGGCAATTGCATATAAAAATAAACCACACTGAAAACCATTTCACTTTCTTTTACAATTCAAAACATTTCTATTTTGTTCTATTTTCTGGGGCTTTACTTTATTCATGTTGTCTCTAGGCTTTTACTTTATGATAAACCTTTAAAAAAAAAAAAAGTCTTTTTGAAGACTCACCTCAAGTTTTGGCCCTTCAGAGATCAGCCATGACTTAACCAACCCTTTCCCATATTAAATCTGACTGCTCCTCCAATTCAGGGACTTCCTACAGTTTGTGTTTTTTCTACTTACCACAGAACGCGCTGTGTGGTGGGCTCTCCATAATGTTTGCTGTATACAATGATTAAGGGATGAATGACTCATTAAATGCTGACTTATAATGTATCACCCAGTAATACACCACACTGTATCTTTGATTTTTTTTTTTTTTTTTTTTTTTTTGAGACAGAGTCTCACTCACCCAGGCTGGAGTGTAGTGGCACGATCTCAGCTCACTGCAACACCCGCCTCCCAGGTTCAAGCAATTCTCCTGCCTCAACCTCCTAAGTAGCTGGGATTACAGGCACGTGCCCCCGTGCCTGGCTAATTTTGGTATTTTTAGTAGAGATGGGGGTTTCACCATGTTGATAGGCCCGGTGCCGTGGCTCATGCCTATAATCCTAGCACTTTGGGAGGCTGAGGCAGGTGGATCACGAGGTCTTTGATTATATTTTTAAAAACATTGTTTAACTTTACCAGGTTCCAGCTGGATTTCAGAAAGTTTGCATTGTATTTTGTTTTTTTATTCTCTAATAAGGAGAATATGTCAAATCTTTCTTTTTCACCTCTAATAGTATCTAGCACTTTGCTGAGACCATAGGCAGAAATCAATTATACTTGTTAACTGGTTCCACACATTTCTAATTGCAAAATTTAATTTATTTTTTTGAAACAAACTGTTTTACCACTTTTTCGTTTTCTTTTCTCAGACTCCTTTTGGTCCTCTTTTTGCTTACTCTATAAAATTGTACTATGTGTCAAGCATTGTGTTAAGAACTTTATTTTTTCCTTCACAACTTATGTGTAGAGGTTTGGGTTTTTTATACCACTAAATTCATGATTTGTTTTCATCGACACTCTTAAAAGGTCCCTCTTTTATTTTAGTTAATTATTTATTTCCTTTTCCCCACTCCATGTTTTATTTCCATCTCCCCAGGAGGCAACTATTGTATCCTGTTACCAGGTATCGTGTTTGTATGTATTCTTATAAAGTGTATATTATTTTTTGTGCATGTATTTCTAATTTATATAAATAGTATTGAATTTAAATCTTATCTATTTCCTACCTTTTTGACTAAGAACTGGGTTTCTGAGGTCCCTCAGTAGTCCTATGCACACATATAGCCTGCTGTTTCTGAATGTTTTGTAATGTTCAGGTGTGGATCCCCCACATTTTCTTATCAACTCTCCCAGTGATGGATGCCCAGATTGCTTCCAAGTCTCTATCACATCAAATTGTTACCTTATTGTGCATGCCCTTTTCAGATCTGTCTAGGAATATCATTTGGTATGTGTACCCAAGAAAAGAATTACTGGGTCTTAGGGCAAGTAAGTATTGCATCTATGAATGTAGCACCAGATTTCTCTCCAAAATGACTACAAGTCTATACCAGCAATCCATACTCACTTGGCATTATCAACTTTTCCAATTTTTGTGCCAAGTGCTTTAAATACAATATGCAATTTAATTCTTACCACGACTTTATCAAAGAGATGCTTTTAGGGAGATTCTTTTAAAAATTCATATTTATCTGTGCAAACCCACATCACAATAAATATATGGGTTTATTGCAGATAAAACAAAGGAATGTGATCCATTCAAGTAACTGTAGCAACTGCTCAGTTCCCAGAACTTTTTTGTGCCTCAAGACTGAGCTTAAGTCTCCTAGTTAATATTGTTTATCCCTACCTCTGCTGGATCAATCACCTTTACTCACCAAAATGAAGAAGCTTAGTCCACCTCCTTTTTTAAGTTTTCCCAGAATTCCATGGGAGCACCATTTCATGCTACTGTATCAATTTCATGGGCTCGCTTGGTCAGATGATGATGGATTTTCTCTTTGAGGGATGTTGGTTCTCATCAAAACACTCTACAGTTTTTACTTTTATCTTTGAGGAATGTTGGTTCTCACCAAAACACTCTGCAGTAATTGCCTCCATTGAAGCCAGGTGATATGATTAGGCTATGTGTCTCCAGCCAAATCTCATCTTGAATTTTATCCCCATAATTCCCATTTATCAAGAGAGAAACCAGGTGGAGGTAACTGAATCATGGAAGCAGTTTCCCCCATGCCATTCTCGTGTTAGTGAGTGAGTTCTCACAAGATCTGATGGTTTCCTAAGAGGCTCTTCCCCCTTGGCTCAGCACTTCTTCCTGCTACCTTGTGAAGAAGGCTCAGCTTCCCCTTCACCTTCCACCATGAGTGTATGTTTTCTGAGGCCTCCCTGCTCATGCTAAACTATGAGTCAATTAAACATCTCTCCTTTATAAATTATCCAATATCAGTAGTTCTTCATAGCAGTATGAAAATACTAATACACTAGCTACCTAAGAATTTTTCTGATTCCCTTCTCTTTTGTAGGAAATCACTTTTCATTGTCAAGTTAACATTTTGTTGAAGGAGTTAAAATAGCACAGCCAAGTAGCATGGGCCTCCAGATATTAACATTTTTACAAACTACTTCTTTCTCCTCAGGATGTTTAAGAGTCTTCCGAGGCCTTGGTTGAAAAGGATTCAGGTACAGCCTTTTCCAGTCCAGTGTCAATGTTTACTGCCGTTAGACTGTATTGCTAGGCCTATGACAGTAAGACAGACTCCTCCTGTATATATCAGTTTGTTTGTTCCCTTAAAGTCTCTATTATCTCCCCTTCCTCTATCCATCACCAACCCAGCTTATGCTCTGTCAGCCTGGAAAGACGTTCTGATTATAGAACAAAATATTAGATGTTTCTGATTGGTGGTATTTTTTAATTTAGTGTCAAATTATAATTAAAGTTAGGATCCAATGTTTAAAAAATAAAAAATCTTGCATAAAAATTCACATTTCTGATTTCCCTAGAAAAATATAAAGAAATGCAACACTAGGCAGGCATTCCTGTGTGGCAACATTCCTCTGGAGTTGAAATGGGACAGACATTCTGATTTGCTTCAGACTTTTGTTTTATATGATTCCTATAGGCATTTTAGTTTCTAAAATCTGACTTTTATGTTTGAATCCTAAATATGTTCAAGACTTAAGCTTTTTTTTAGGACAGGTGTAGTGACTCATGCCTGTAATCCCAGCACTTTGGGAGGCCAAGGAGGGTGGATTATCTGAGGTCAGGAGTTCAAGACCAGCCTGACCAACATGGTGAAACCCTGTGTCTACTGAAAATACAAAAACTAGCCAGGCATGGTGCTGTGCATGCTTAGTCCCAGCTCTCTGAGAGGCTGAGGTAGGAGAATTGCTTGAGCCCAGAAAACAGAGGTTGCAATGAGCCAAGATCCCACCACTGCACTCCAGCCTGGGTGACAGAGTGAGACTCCTTCTCAAGTTTAAAAAAAAAAAAAAAAAAAAAAAGACACGCTTTTTTTTTTTTTTTTTTTTTTTTAAGTCATGCCCCATAAAATATCAGGTAAGGCATTTATATCCCAGAATTGGAAGAGCCTTGTCACTTATATATTATATATTATATAGCCAAATTATATATTATATAGCCAAACTTATGTATTATATAGCCAAATTGTTTCTGATACATGAGTAATATTGTGAATTTATAAAAGTGGTGACAGTAACATTTTATAATGATAAATGCTATATGATTTAATTTATGATCTTAGAAATAAGCACTCTATGGTTTGAATTATAGGTATAAAATATTACATTGATATTCTTATTCATTGGTAAAATTAGCCCCAAACAGTTTTTTACCAACAATATTTAACATCAGATATTCTTTAATTTCCACAGTGCAGTGTATAAACTTTTAAAGGAAAACACGGTTTTGGCATATAAACTTTAAGTGAAAACACAGTTTTGTTTTTGACATTGCAACACAAGAAAAGATAAACAGAAAAAAAGGTGATATGAAAGAAAACCAACCCTAAAGCAAAAAGCACACACATAAAATCCTAGAATAGATGTTGATGTTAGCAATGACTCCATCGGTGGGTCATGTACGACTTAGGAAAGATATTGGTCAGTGTCAGGTTATAGTGCAGCCTTGCATGAGCCTGAGGAGAGTCACTGACCCCACAATCGGGCAAATCCGAGAAGTGAAGCTGCAGAGTTTGTAAACTTTACCTGATCTATTATTTTGAAAACCATTCTTGCAGTGAGCACTGAGGGATAGATTTTAAGAAATAATTTCTAAGACCCATTCTAATTTGAGATTTAATTTGATTTGGGAATTATTAGTTTACTGTGGATGTATAAATTATTCAAATGGACATGGTAGAACATTTGTATGTATATACAAACTATATATAAAAATACATATATTTATTATATATAATAAAATACAAGTTCATTTTAGGAACATCTATCAGGAAAGATTTTCATTACTAATTCCCTTATCAATATGATGAGACTAGATAATACATCATCCATAATTCAGAATAATGCATTATGTTCATAGCATAACTTATGAGATACAGGGCTCTGCTTTTTACAGTATTAGCATCCCTTCTTATTCATTTTTCATTGTTATGTAAAATGAAGACTTCTTTAAACTTAGTTTTACAACATATTATTCTGTATTCCCTTAAATAATAGCTTCATGATAATCATTTCCAGTTAAACACACTGTGTAGGGGTTAATTCTCTATAGCATTTCTATACATCTTTTGACAGCTTTTGTTCCAGATTATCTTTTCAAATAGTCTGAGAAGAAGGAGATAGAATATCCCTCCAGGGCAAATGGAAAATTTATTTCCTGACCAGTATAGTAAAGATTATAT